GAAGAAGCGATCGAGCGGAACCAGGGCTCCAAAGTCTTTGACAGAGATCTGTCTGCCAGTAAGAGCTAACTTTCAAAGCTGAATACTGTGTGTGGCAGCATCGTTTTCGGGACACCTGAGATTCTGAGTGAGATTGAGAGGTTCTATGGGCAGCTGTACGTACACATCATCGTTGGAGCCACACGCAAGTGTGAGTAACGATCCAAGAGCAAGTCTTATCCGACACTATTCCGATGATATCCTGGACGTCAGCCTGAGCGAGATTAGAATGGCTCTCCAGCATCTTAAAAACGGCAAGTCCCCGAGTGAGGATGGAATTACAGCGGAGCTTCTGAAAGCGGGTGGAACACCGGTACTTGAAGTCCTTCAGAGGCTCTTTAATTCCGTCCTCCACGGTGGCACTACTCCAGAGGCGTGGAGTAGAAGAGCGGTGGTCTTGTCCTTCAAGAAAGGTGACAACGCCCTCTTGAAGAACTACGGACCGATATCCCTTCTGAGCCGCGTCTACGTGCTGTTTTCGAGAGTAATTACGAATCGTCTCGCACGCAGACTCGACGACTTCCAGCCTCCCGAACAAGCCGGTTTCCGAAAAGGCTTTAGTACCATAGACTACATACATACCCTACGGCAATGTACAGAATTCCGAAGAGTACAATCTGCCACTTAACCTGGCGTATGTGGACTATGAGCAAGCCTTTGATTCCGTCGTAATTTGGGCGGTGCTACAGTCTCTGCAGCGGTGCCAAGTTGAATGTCGGTATATCGAAGTGCTGAAGTGTTTGTACAGTAGGGCTACGATGGCTATCCGAGTACAGAACCAGAGTACGAAACCTATCCAACTGCAGAGAGGTGTAAGACAGGGTGATGTTACTTCCCCGAAACTCTTCACCGCTGCATTGGAAGACGTTTTCAAGCTACTGGACTGGAAAGATACGGTATTAACATTAATGGCGAGTACATCACTCACCTTCGATATGCCGACGATATAGTCCTTATGGCAAAATCGCTGGAGGACTTAAACACTATGCTCAATGACCTCAATAGTGCTTCCCAACGGATAGGTCTTAAGATGAACATGGACAAAACAAAGATCATGTTTAATGTCCATGTCACACCTATGCCGGTAGTTGTTGGGAGCACTAAGCTCGAAGTTGTCGACGAGTACGTTTACCTGGGACAAATAATCTGACTAGGTAAGTTCAACTTCGACCGAGAGGTCAATCGACGGATTCAACTCGGCTGGGCAGCGTTCGGGAAATTACGACACATCTTCTCGTCAGGTATACCTCAAAACCTGAAAACTAAGTTGTACAACCAGTGCGTGTTGCCAGTGATGACCTACGGAACCGAAACGTGGTCCTTCACTGCTGGCCGTATGAGGACGCTCGAAGTCGCTCAGCAAACTATGGAGAGGGCTGTGCTCGAGTTTCTCTGCGTGATAAACTTAGAAATGAGGATATCCCAGTAGAACCAGAGTGACTGACATAGCCCAACGGATTAGTAAGCTGTGATAAACTTGAAATGAGGATATCCCCAGTAGAACCAGAGTGACCGACATAGCCCAACGGATTAGTAAGCTGAAGTGGCAATGGGCCGGCCATATAGCTCGAAGAACCGACAACCGTTGGGGAAAAAAGGTTCTCGAGTGGCAGCCTCGTACCGGTAGGCGAAGTGTAGGGCGACCCCCCCTCTAGATAGAGTGATGACCTGGTAAGACATGCAGGTAGTCGATGGATTCTGGTGGCTCAGGACCGTGCTTTGTGCCATACCTTGGGGTAGGCCTGTGTTCAGCAGTGGATTTGTGAAGGGCTGTAATGATGATGATGAAGAATGAAGTAAATATATGAAAGAAAAATAATAAAATATTGTAATGTAGTCTACTGTGACTATGCATTGTTTTTACGTCCTAGATATGTTTTGATTATAGTTTTAATAAAGATATTAATTTTGTTTAGAATAATTTTAAGAACTTTGGATTGATAAAAAACTGTAGATAGCATTTTTTTATTCTTTTGTCGGTGGGAGGTGTAGAGTAGTGCAGCCCCCACGTCAATATATATTTGTTTTAAGTGTAGAATAAGAGCATTATAATTAAAGTTTTGGTGACAACACGTCTCCTTCTTATTAACACCTTTACTACATTACAGAATTGTGATATTTGCATTACGCGGATTAATGACGCTGACTTGGCTATTACGGACCACTACAGACACGTGAGTAGTTTATTGTTAAAGTGTGTATCGTTAGAAAAATCTCACATGAAGTTACATGAAAAATAAGTCTCATAAATGTGTAAGTGGTAGCGTTGTGTCGTAATAGGTTTCTAAAGCAGTTTAGAAGACGCAAATACTAATATAACAGATATACCTGGTTAAGACGACACATCGAAAATAAACGTAAGTAAATATAAAGGGTATGTAATTAAGTTATTAATATATGTTGAATTAAGTATATTCTTTTTATTTGGAAAAGTGTTGGATTATTTTGTATTTTGTGTCAAAAATCATTATATCCTCCTAATGGATATACCATCAATTATTCTATAATTTTTTTATTTGAATAAATAGAAACTGGCCTTGATATTGTACGCTAGTAAGTTTATTTGATGAATACCTGCTTGTAACCAATAAAATGCCTCCGCCTATTCCACCCCGCGCCCCGCTAGCGACACTCATCACTAGATCCCTAAAACTTCAAATTCGCGCCAAATGCTCAATCGGAGGTCAACGTGCGATAAACAGAAAGGAACAAGCGAGATTTTTAATATTTTGCGTCATTTATTGTCTTGTTGTTTAATAAAATGTAACTGTATATGTCATTATTGTTGTCGTCATGTTAATTTATTAAAAGAGAAGTCAACAAAGTTCTTATTTATTTATTTATTGTAATAATAACTAAGTCATGATTTTTAAAACGGATTACATTGTATAACAGAATTTGTAACTACGTTTATAATGATATTTTATTCCCCTTCTTTTTAGGGTCATTATGCACTTTTTCTTTATTTCTCTTTTTTGTTACATAATTTGGATCCCGAATTTGTTTATTACGAGTAAGTCGCGGTTCTACCAATTCCAGTAGCAAGCATTGAAATTAAAATGAAAGTAATTTTGTCTCCATTTTAAAATCTTGCAAAATTGGTCATCCTTTACTATTGTTTCCACTTTTATTTTATTACGTCTATACCATACTGCCAATAAGCATTTACATATTTCGGAAATATGCATCTGTCTTTGAACTTGCATGAACCAATCTGAATTTTTGTTCACCTAGATCTCACCACTTTTTTATGCAATTATGGGACACGGGATTTCAAACAGGCTGTTACTTCCGATAATATCGTCAGGCGTCGCTCCTAAAAATGGATGATTTTTGTCTTCGAATAAACTACAAGGGTCTATCTTTACGTCTAGTAAATTTGATATTTTTACTGTACTAGCGCAACTGTTGGTTTAATTCTTTTGACAATCTTCTCAAAATCAGAGGTTCCAATAATAGAAAACAAAACTCGTTAATGTCACTAAGAATAATATAGAGCACAGCCACAGCATCTCCATAGGATTACTGTCCTAATAGTGCGTATTACGTTGTATTACGACCAACGGAATGTGACCTCCACCGACGTACAAAGTCTAGGTTGAAGCAGGCAAGCTTATAGTGGATATAACAAGAGTGTGGAGTCCCGATCTAGATATATGGCCAGTCTATGGATGCTGTCTATATAGGTAGCATTTAGTCAAATGTCATGTTTTATTCCCACAACAAATAACTCTGAAATGCAGCTATAAGCAACCACGCCTAGAAAACCTTACGATTCAAGTATCATTTAACGTAGAGGAGCCATGCTGCATTTATATGTATTAGTAGTTGTAGATAATGGGTAGGCTCGACCGAGGAAGGACCACGCTCTCACAGAATACCAGCGTAAAATAGTAGCTTAATGCTGCTGTGTTTCGTATGGTGAGTGTAGAGAACCGGAGACCCTTTTTACTGGAAACGAGACATTCCATCTTAGTCCTCACGGTTGACAACGCATCTGCATTTTGATTCGTAATCGAGGATAGATGTAGATGTTTATGGGCCACAGCAACCACTTACCATCAGGCGGATTGTGTGCTCGTTTGTCACCCTATCCTATTAAAAAAAAATCAAAATGTTCTACAACTATAGCTATTTATAATAATAAAGGTATATCTAAGAATAGAGAGTACAGGCGAACGACATGCGCAGGCCTACCGTCGAAGAGGTAGTATATAATTTCTATAAAACTTTAAAACGCCGTCCTAAGGTCTAAAATTGCGTAGCGTCCGCGACGATTAACATGCTTAGAAATTGTCAGAATCTTAAAATATTTTAAAAAAATTATTGAATTAAGTAATCATAATAACGCGCAACTAAATTACAAATATTGACTGTGTGATTTTTTAGAGGTGTTTTCGCAAATAATTATGATCGAGTCAAAATTATACAATCGTGTTTTTGAGCAAGCAAATTCAAGATAAAGACATGAATTTACCTATATCAAAATTTCAGTTTCATTAGTCGTGTCATATGTAGTCCCATACTATTCGACGAAAGGAGGTGCATTTTCTCAAGGTGTCGCCTTAAGTCATTTCGACAAGATTTATTAGGGGAGATTGCGAGACGGTTTCATAATTTAGATAGAAGCCGCGCTTTTTCTTTGTGTTTGTTTTTAGATTATAGATTTATGCTCTATTTTGAAGATGGCAACACAGCTGCAGTGTCAAAAACACAGCTATCATTTTAAACGAAAAGGAGTCACTTAGGTAAACTATCTCCTTGTACCGCTAGTGCTGTAGTAGCTATTTCGGTTTCAGGGGACCTAGCATAAGTTTAGTGTCCCTTTGAAGCCTGTGAAAAGCAGCGTACACTGCTTTTTTATTAATCAACACTAATAATACAGCACAGATTTAATTTTCTGTGTCTGAATTCTTATTATTTATTTATGTAGTGTATGTGCGGGCACCATACACACTTACCAAATAGTGTAATTTGATTGTACTGTCGGTACTGTCATTACTGCACATTAAAAAATAAACATACATTGGGTAGGTAGCCGCTGCGTCACGTAACAGTGTACTGAGGTTGTAGGTTTGATCCTCTAATTTATCAAATTTTATGTTTTTGTCATTAATTATCATAACAACAATTATTTAAATATTATAATCGCTGAGTAATACCGTTAACGGTGTTGCATAAGGGCAGTAGCAAGCTAGCAAGTAGCCGTCTTGTCATTGTTAAAACTTTTTAACAAGTAACAACAGTGCACCAAGTGTTGTAAGTTCGATCCCCACTCAGGACACACAATTTTGTAATCCGCAGATAATTTTCTAGTTTTTTTCCGTACAATTATAACATCTTTGTCTTTTTTAGATTTATTACCTAAACATAAAGAAATAGGCAAATAATATTACGCTATAAATTTTCAAAGTTTCTCAACTACAATGATTGATTTTATACCTTACTATTTCATCCGTTCTATTCCAATATAAATTAATCAACATGTTATATAATGATATTTTCAGGAATTATTAAGGCGATACTTATTTGTGGTGATCCTTTTTTAATCATCTATATATTAATTGACAAATTATATAAAAAACCAGCCCCTCAGACAGCGACAGCGCCCCACCTCCCCTGCACGGCAGGAGAGCGAACGATCATCGAGGGCTGGCAGTGAGCACTGCCGCCCGCCTCACGCTCAGGGCGCCGCGCCACATCTCCTCATCGCGGCTGGATAGATCTCACATCAAACATTTTTTGATAACCACTACGTAATAAAACGCAATTACACTAGATGGCAGTATCTTATATGTGTTTGACAAACATATTTTTATGCACGGGGAAATCACAATTTATGAATGACAGCTACACGCCTATTGTATTGCGTATTGTTTTATAGTCACAACACCTTAAACAGTTTCTTTGAATTGCGGCATCTATTTAAAAAAAAAACAATAATTAGAACGTTTTTGATAAAATGAGTAGTGATTCATCGACTGGGAAAAGTCCCCCTAAGAAGAAATATGTGAAATATGAACAGAAATTCGTAAATTTGTGGTTAAAAGATGATTCAAAGTTCAAAGGCTGGTTAAAGAAAAGCACTAAAGGTGAGACTTATTTCTTTTGTTCTGCGTGTAATTGCGACAGAAAATGTGGTATATACGAACTGTTACGACACAAGATTCAACAAAACACACGAAGAATAATTTGAAATTACAAAAACAACAACAACAAAAAACTGACATTAATATTTACCTCAGCTTCCAACTCACAAGATACAAAAATTGTAGCCAAAGCGGGTGAAGTAAAAATGGCCTGCTTTATTGCTGAGCATAATCTGTCTTTTAACATAGCATCTCATTTGAATAAATTGATTTGAGCTGTATGTCCAGATTCGAAAATTGCGGAACAATTATCAATGAGCCGCACAAAAGCTAGAGCTATTAACGCTAGAGATTTCAAAATATTTCAAGCATTCACAAATATTAAACCACACAAATTGCTCCACCCTAGCCAAAGCAGATGGTTGTCACTTATTGAAGTAGAACAATTACCAGCTATAAAATTGTATTTTCAAGCTGCAGTTCATGTAGATAGATTACTTTCTGCGCAATCAATTCTCTCCAAGGCTCTCGAACCGACAACTGAATTGTACATTGAGTTTTTGAAATTTGCATTACCTATATTTATCGATCTCAATAAAGAAATGCAATCAGAGACTCCGAAATTATATTTACTATACGACAAAATACTGACCGCATACACAACTATCTTGGAATGCTTTGTGCAAACTGAATATTTGAATCTCACTGAACAAGAAAAAAATGAAGCACAAAATGCTTTAGACGCAATGGGAACTAAAATATTAAACCTTGACTTCTCGAGTGAGCAGAAACATTTACCGTTGCAACATATATACGTTGGTGGAATGGTGCCAAATCTGATCAGAAGAAAGAGAGAAATAGGAAAACTAGAGGAAGAACAGCTGAAAATTTCTACTAAAAGTGTAGGGAGTTTTATATGGAGGCTGCAAAACAGATATTAACCACCCGTGATATCAGTCAGTCTATGGACCTATTAGTCTGACCTATGGTCAAGCCAAAGAGTATAGTAGGTTTGGCCAAAGACAATTTTTTTAAATGAACGTAAATATAACTTAGAGTCATTACCATGTTCTTATCCAAAAATAAAAATTATCAACAATTAAAATATCGAATTATTTGTTTGAAGGTCACGTGAGCGCTAGAGAAATGATTGTAAGACGTTGTTGACAAATAAAATGTTTAATGATGTACAGTAAAAATAGAATTTAACATTGCACGAAATTTCCGATTCAATTTTTTTTTTATGAGGTTTAGGATCACTTATTCATTATAAAATCACAAAATGCCGACAGATCCAGGTGGCGCTTCAAGCGCCATCTTGAAAAAACGTTTTCAGCCGATATCTCGGAAACAATGCACTTTAAGGCCAAAAGTTATACAAACAATTATTGTAGAATATAAAATTTCACATCTTTTGTTTCCAGCAAACTTTTTTTGTAAAACTTACCGTTTACGATTTATAGCCCATTTAATGAACAGGTGGCGCTTCAAGCACCATCTTGAAAATACGTTTTCAGCCGATATCTCGGAAACAATGCACTTTAAGGCAAAAGTTATACAAACAATTATTGTAGAAAATAAAATTCCGCATCTTTTATTTCCAGCAAACTTTTTTGTAAAACTTACCGTTTACGATTTATGGCCCATTTAATGAACAGGTGGCGCTTCAAACGCCATCTTGAAAAAACGTTTTCAGCCGATATCTCGGAAACAATGCATTTTAAGGCAAAAAGTTATGTAAATAATTATTGTAGAAAATAAAATATCGCATCTTTTGTTTCCAGCAAACTTTTTTGTAAAACTTACCGTTTACGATTTATGGCCCATTTTATGAACAGGTGGTGCTTCAAGCACCATCTTGAAAAAAATGTTTTCAGCCGATATCTCGGATACAATGCACTTTAAGGCAAAAGTTATATAAACAATTATTGTAGAAAATAAAATATCGCATCTTTTGTTTCCACCAAACTTTTTTGTAAAACTTACCGTTTACGATTTATGGCCCATTTTATGAACAGGTGGTGCTTCAAGCGCCATCTTGAAAAAACGTTTTCAGCCGATATCTCGGAAACTATGCACTTTAAGGCAAAAGTTATACAAACCATTATTGTAGAAAATAAAATTTCGCATCTTTTGTTTCCAGTAAACTTTTTTTTAAACTTACCGTTTACGATTTATGGCCCATTTAATGAACCGGTTTTTCTATCGCGGCCAATAACTCTTGAAATATCAGATTAATCAATAAAATTCATAAATTTATTTTGAAAGATCAGTTTATTATCCAAAACTTTTGTTTGAAACTTTTTTTTCTAACATTCATACTTTTTGAGTTATAGGACGTTTCATGTCATGCACAGCCCGCCGAGCTCGGCCGACGCTCGGCAGGTGACGCGGCAGCTATTTTATGATTAAGAACCCGGATTTTATTGCTATTATTTCGTGGAATTCTAAGTAAGACGTCATTATTGTTTACTAACTACGACTTACGGAGTCTCATTTTTGAAATTCGAGTTATAGAGTATAAATACCTATTATCAATATTTCGTAGGGAAATAACATTTTCTTCGAGTTACAAAGTCTAATAATTCGAGATACCGCGTATTTAGGGGTTCAGCGGAAGGGAATGGCAATTTTTTTTCGACTTACTGAGGATATCAACTTAACGAGGTTCGAGTTATAGAGATTCCACTGAAAATCATAAAACGCATATAATTTTTTAAGCAGAGCGTGTCTATCAGCAACTTAATATCACCAAGTTTTTAAGTTTATATGTGAACTATATAACAATATAATTATTTTTAAATGTTATTTATAATCTATCTATAGTTTCGAGTAAACTTAGTGATCATATACTCTTTGGTTCTAAGGCGTCCCTCTAAATATTAGTATACTCTTTGGCGCGGTCTAACAAGGAGACATTGACGTCTCCATATGGAGGACTTTTAAGGGTTAAAAAGGTTTCCTTTTGACGGCAAAGACCGTGAAGCATTAAAATGTCTGAAGATGCTAAATTCTACACCAATTCTGGATCCTGAAATAAAAAAAGAAATTCCCTTCCATTGGCGATTTACATTATTTCTTCCCAAAGATTTGTCCAAATAATATAACGGAACTGGATAGAGAATGGCGAATATTAAGAAATGTCGATTTTTCTTTCAACCAAAACAAAACTCCCGATATAATCGACTTTTGGAAACATGTACAAGAATTAAGAAATGGAGACGAATCTCAAACATTCCCTACATTATGTGAATCGATAAAAAAGCTTTTGTGCCTACCACATAGCAGCGCCGCCGTGGAAAGGTTATTTTCTACTATAAATATTATGAAAACCAAATTACGCAACAGAATATCGACTACAGCTATTAAAGGAGTATTACACAATAAATCCGAAATAACCGATTGCTATTCATTTGAAGCCACAGAAAGGCACATGAAGAAATTCAACAAAAATATGAATGTTTTTAACAATAAAAATGAGTGCGAAAATATTGAAGATTAGGCAATTGAAAATGAAACCGAAAAATAATTTTACTTTTATTTTTGTTTTTTGTTGTTGTGATTAGGCTTGTCGAATAAATATCGATACATCGATATAACGATATTTTCAATTTGATATATCGATATTTTTGGGCGATATATTTTGTTACGATATATCGATATCAAATATCCAATATCGAAATTGTATCAACAACGATATTTTCCGCTTTTTAATTTGGTACTTAAGTTGGTTTTTAAGTTGGCAACTTTGTCTTTAAGTCAATGACACATGTGACATGTGTCAGTTCAGTTCAGTAATTTCATTCATTTGTGTATCTGACTAGGCTGTATGGGCTCAGATCCCTTTGCCTTCTTGCTTCGTTAGGAACGAGAAAATTAACCAAAAAAAATTATTCAATTGTCATTGTCCGTCCGTTATCCGTAACGAACCTCAACGCGCGCGTTTTTCTGCATTTGAGTTGATTGTAGTCTACAATCTTACTAATTCAATCAATAATTAATTTGAGCATTCCAGTCATGTCTAGTGTTGTATGGAACTTTTTTTAAAAAGTAGACAAACAAAACGTTTCATGTAATCTGTGTGGAAAAAGATATAAAACCAGTGGCAATACGACGAATTTAGCTACACATCTAAAAAATAAGCATCACCATGCGTTTCTCCAACTTAAAAATAAAAACGCAAGGTCGTCAAGTGAAGTGGATGATATTACACCAAGTTCTTCAGAACCTAAACGACAACAACGCATTTGCATTTTGATTCTTAATTGAGAATAAATATGTATATCTATGGGTCATAGCATCCACTTACCATGAAGTGGACTGTGTGCTCGTTTGTCACCCAATGCTATGAATAAAATATATTCGTTGAATGACGTTCGGCGACGAGGTTCGCCACCCGTCACGTTCTGTCTCCCGGAGAGGCGAAAAGTGGATTGCAGAGGCCCGTCTGGCTACGTTGAATGCATGTGGGGCAATGAATGATAAAATGGATGAAGTTTGCGATATGATGTATGATAGAGGAATAGATGTGTTATGTGTAAATGAGACGAAAAGGAAGGGGAAGGATGTCACTACACATGGCATGTATACCGCATACTGGTCTGGTGTAGACGAGATCGAGCGGGCATGCCAGGGGGTAGGTATCATCCTTTCAGAAAGAATGGGCCAATGTGTGAAAGAGTATGAATGTGTAAGCCCAAGACTGCTATGGATACGAATGAAAGTGGGCTTAAAGAAGTTGTTTGTGTTAGGGGTCTACGCCCCAGACATGTCTAAGCCCACTTATATCCGAGAGCAGTTTTGGGAAATGGTAAGGATGGTGAAGTGTAAGGGAAATTAAAATATTATTATGCTAGGAGATTTTAATGGAAGGGTTGGGGTGAGGAGGCTTGGTTATGAAAGGATATTGGGAACGTTTGGTGATGAAAGTATAAATGAGAATGGTGAAAGTCTCCTCACTGTATGTATGGAAAAGAATCTTTTTGTGACGAACACTTGCTTTCGCCACAAGAGGATTCACATGTATACTTGGGAAAGAGGTGACGATAGAAGCATGATAGATTTCATAATTGTGGATGAAAGATTGAGGGGCGCAGTGGTAGATACAAGGGTTTACCGGGGTTCTAACGTAGGAACGGATCATTATTTGGTTTTATGCCGAATTAATGGTCTATTCAGGCGTTGGCGCCATCGATCATCTGTGTCTACCACTGCGTTACAGCGTATTAGAACAGAAAGGTTACAAGATGAAGGTGAGAGAAACAAGTTCAAATGTAGACTGAAAGAAAAAAAGTGATTTGGATGAATTATGTATGAAGGAGTTAGACTTGGAGAATGTATGGCAAAATGTAAAGAAAGGTTTAGTGGATGCAGCTACCGAAGTATGTGGTGTTAGTAAGAGGAAGAACGAAAGGAAAAATAATACGTTATGGTGGGATGATGAGATACGTATAGAAGTTGAAGCAAAGAAGAGAGCATGGCTAGATTTACTAGCAATAAAGGCTGGTAATTCTAGCGGTACGAATGATGATATTGAAAGAAAAAAGGCAGTCTTTAAACATCTTAATAAAAGAGTAAAAGAAGTAGTTGAAAGAAAAAAGCAAGAAAGAACGGATAAGAATGATAGAAGAATATCGGATAACTTCCAGGCAAATATTAAAATGTTCTGGAAACTTGTAAGAACTGCCAGGGGACATTCAAAACAGCCTATGATGAATGTTATAAGAGACGAGAATGGCTATATTCTGAAAGATGAAGTTTTGAGTTTAAAGAGATGGAAGGAATATTTTGAAAGCGTGTTTATGAGTGAGGAGACAACGTGTGTACTAAGTGAAGTAGAAACTCCGAAAGAAGAGGAAAGAGGTAGCGAGATAAGTATAGATGAAATAATGAAAGCAATGAAAAGCATGAAAGCAGGTAAGGCTGCCGGATATGATAGAGT